ATAAAAATTACCAATATATGTAAAAGGGTGTTGTGTCCGTGTCGGATCGTTTCTTTGATGAACAGCAACGCTTTATATAGAGCCTGTAAAAAGTTTTTGAGCATTTTTAGGAGCAAGCTTTTTTAGTTGTTAAGCTGTTGTGTTGTGTTTTAGTGTGTTAACAAGCTTTAGTTGTTGTAGTTTAAAATTCGCTTGAAAGTTTGTTTTTAAAGCGAAAAGAGACTTGAAAATGAAACTTTGGAAAAAATTACCAATATATGTTGAGGTGTTGAGTCAGTGTGTTGGGTGTTGAGTCAGTGTTGGGTGTTGAGTCAGTGTTGGGTCGTTTCTTTGGTGAAGAGCATATTTTATAGAGCCTGTAAAAAGTTTTTGAGCATGTTTAGGAAAAAGCTTTTCCGGAATTAGTTGTTGTAGTTAGAAATTCGCTTGAAATTTTGAAAAGAGACTTGAAACTGAAACTTTGCAAAAAAACTGAAAAAGGAAAATGACTTTAAAGCGAGCAAAACTCCATGTGTTTTTTTTTTGCACTAACCAAGGAGGAAAATAGATGAAAATGTTGAGTAGGGTGAGTGGAGGCGGAAAAAACAGCTTGTCCTCGTTGTCGACAATTCTCTCATACCAAAGGATTCTCCATTGTTCCGTCGATACGACTTCTTGGTAGTACTCACTAGAGTTCTTGTGTTCCTCGTGAGTAATAGTGCGATATGGAAAACGGATTACGGTAGAAAAAAACTCAGTATCTTGAAAATCTTGTCTATAACTTTAAAGTTATTCAGTCGTAATCCGTTTCATATATCATACTATTACTCACGAGGAACACACATTATTATTGAATTATTGAGTACAGATGTGCTTGATGGTTGCTGAAAAAAACTGACACTGACCCGATTAAAACGGTGAGAATATTGATAATGAGGACACTTGTGATGATCGTGTACAAAAAGAGAAACACTGGGATCATCCATTGCCGAAAGGCGCACTAAATTTATTGTTTGTATGGGCGTTTTTTTTTCTAAAATTTGAATAAATATTAGGTACGGAAAAAATTAATGTCGTATTTGTGGGTCTCACTTTCCGGCGTCGCCTACGCGGCTGCAGATGCTTACTGACCTTGGGTCTTTTTATGTATTTGAGTATTTTTTTTCGGAGCCAAAATTAGCAACGCACTTTGGGGTCACCCCACACACAATTGGGAACCATCTCAAGGAAATCGGAAAAGTAAAAAGTTGGAAAAGTGGGTGCCTCATCAGTTGAACGAATATCAAAAATTGCACCGTTACCTCACATCGTATTACTATTATTATTACTATTAATATTATTATTATCGTATTGTTTGTAGGTGCGTTTTTTTTCTAAAATTTGAATAAATAGTTAGTTACCTGAAGTTCGTTTGCTTGAAAATCGATCCACGATGAGGGCATCGTGCAGTTCACTTCGCCTAAACTTCTAGCTTACGACATAACCAAATAACATCGAATAGCCCTACGAAAATTCCATAACCCTTGCCTTCTTATCAGGGCTGGACGAAGAGACGATTTTCCAGGCCAGGCCAGGCCAGGCCATCTGGCTGGCTTTTGGCTTGACCTTGACCTGGCTGGGTCAAATCACGGCCATGGCTTTTGGCTTTTTCGTCCAGCCCAGCTTCTTACTTACTTATTACGTTATTATCAACTTAATAATTACTTATTGCTAAGTTTAACTAGGTATAAACTTTCCAAACATGTGTACCATTTTTGACTTTTTCATCTAATTCGCCAAAGATCTCGAAGGCTCCATTTCTAAAGGCAAAAAGTCTGCTTATCGATTGTTTTTACGGTAAAACATACGAAAAAAGTGACCACTGTATGCTGCTCTCGTTATTTATTCCACGTAGTGACACCTGGAGAAGAAAAACATATAAATGGAAAAAGAGGGGGGAAACCTGGCATAAACCATATGTGGCCCAGAAGAACAAAGAGACCAGCAAGAAATTCGCTGATAATTCAAGCTTAAATTTAATTGAATTTATGTCTAAAAAAAACCCATTATTTTAATCGTTATGTAACTTTCAGTTCGAACATTCGTGTGCCCGTTTGAGAAGTTTTTTTTTGCTAATCGTAAAGCATTAATTTCAAACACAAAACCCAAAATTTCCTATTTTTATAAATTCTTTTCCAAAGAGATAAACCGACCATTTTCTTGATTGTCATAACAATTGCGCTCAGCTTTGGGAAAACCGTCAAAACGCGTAACGTCCACAAAGCGGCAAAGATAAAATTGAGGAAAAAGAAAACTTCGTAAAAAAGCAATGCATAGAACTTGATGATTCTAAAATAACATTATTCAAATGAAATAGGCTTTTAGATTTGTTACTCGAAAATCGCCGCTAGTTTCTTGCTTTCCGAACCGAAACTAAATTATAACTTTCAACGTTTAAATGCAAAAGTACAAAACCTCAAGAAATCCATGGAAGAAAGTAGCAGAACCAAGCAGACGAACAGATAGCTGACGACCATTAAACCCAACATGAGCGTCGTGTAGGCACGATCTTTCCAAAAGAACTTATAGAGACCCTTTAAATGATTATATTCTTTTCTACTAATCGAGAAAACTCCACATCGGCGTGTGATCTTGGCTGACCTAGCCGTTTTCGCTGCGAAAAGGAAAAATATTGGCAAAAGGTGTCAAGAAGGTAAAACATTTGCCATCTAAAAATTCAGCGAAAGTTACATTTCAGGCATTGTCTTTAGCTGGTTATAACAAAGCTTTTTACTCACAAAGAAAATAACATCCAACGCTTTCGTGTCAATTCTCTTTGGAAGTCTTCCACTTCATGAATGCCCAATAGTAGCCAGATGAAATAACTCAAGTAGGTCACGTAACACGTCTAATTTGAAATATGTTCCTTGAAGGAAAGATGCCAAAAGACGAACCATATAAAGTGCGAAACGAAAACATGGTGATGTCACAAAACACCACCATCTGTGGAAACCATTTTTGATTTTCATCCAGATGTGGAGAGGAGATGCGCACTTTTTGACACAGCTTTTTAGACCCTCAAGACAGCTTTGATTTTCTTCTTCATTTTCGTCATCCATTTCTGAGTAGAAATTTTGAGTGACTTTATGTGTATGTTTCTCACCTTCTTCAAAAACGAAGCCACATGGATGCAAGATTAGGGGCAACCAGAAGGGAATTGCTAATATGTAAACCATTAAGAAACCGAGACGAGAAGATCTAGATACCAGTAAAAAAACTTCCTAGAAAAAGTATAGGATTCAAAAATAAACAAAGTTTAACGCATTTCTTATGTATTTCTCAAAATCCCCTCGTAGAATGATTGAAGTTAGACAGACCATTGTCTATACTTTTTAGCAAATCGCATAACATTTTTAGAGCATTTTCGAGATCAAAGAATTTGTTTGAATATTTTAAAAAGGGTAGGCCAAAAAAGTGTTTACCTTTGCCACTATGGAAAATTTTATTGGTTGAGTTTATCCTATAGTTGAACAGATGAAAAATTAGGTTTTCCGTGGTTTTAATGAAACGACGCATAAGTCTAAAAAGCGAATTACAACTTTTCTCTTATTAAAAAGGTCAAAGCTACTAAAAAAATTCTTCTTTCTTCACATTTATCTCGACAAATTAAAGCTTTTGCTTTTAATCTATGATTTTGAAAAAAATACCGAAACCCTGGTTTCCAACGATCGTTCATAGCATCTTGACACAAAACATGAGCGAGGAAAGTCTAGAGGGTTTTTCTGATTTTCCTCCCTAATTGATAGCCCTACTTCATCTTTGCATTCGTATGCCATTTCAACTAACGTGCTGCAGCTTTCTTTTTTTGTTTGCTTTACCAAATACTCCTCATTGATCAACCCTCGAGCTTGCTCGTGATCCCGGATATGGCACTTTTCGAGTAGCCGGTAAGCCAAAACAGAAAAGTTGCTAAAATTTTTGTGCTAAATTAGAAATTTCACTTAGAAACCTTTTTTGTGGCTGGAAAAGCTTTGCCATTGCAGTATCGTACTGTTCCTCGAATTTTTCGATGAGTTTTTTGGAAATACACTCGACAAGCAACGCGGCCATGAGAGGCGACTCGCATCTTCTCCACAATTCTTTACACGTGTCAACTCTGAAAGGACAAGGGATTTGTCTACAGTAATTCTATCACTATGCAATTGATCAATAAAGATTTGTTGATTGGAGTTGAAAATGTTCGCAATACACAGCAAATAGCTACTTGTATATTTTTGACGTAAAGAACGACCTGTGTTTACTCTGTAGTTTTTACATCTTTTAAGTCCCAAAAAGACTATATCCAATTGTATTGGGTTGATGCATAAGTCTTTTCGTTCCTTTTCGTCTGCCGTTTCAAGCCAACTAAATGCACCAATTAAACTACGGTTGATTTCATTAAAAAAACCCATTATTTTTCTGCAAAATGTCACATTAAAACGGGTTTAAAAATATTCATAAAGCCTGGATTTTCTTTCGAGAGTATGAAGTTCCAACGCAGGTAGTCAAAAAGGGCAAAGTTCGACTGAGCGGTTTAGACACCTTATCTAAAGAAAACCTATCTTTCGTGTTAATATATAAAAGATAGAGAAAAAAAAGTTTGATATTTTGCCAAAATTTCAGAGAAGATCCATTCAGCCAATTTTTCCGTAGATGATTTTTTATAGATTTTTGCGAAAAAATGGTCGTTTCTTGAGCTGAGGCGCTGTTCGAATTTGCTTTTGAAAGTGAACCGAAATTGATTTAAAAAGATGGAAATTGAACAAAAAAACACTTTTTTTATAGAGCAAACTATAGATTAATTCGTGAATTTGTTACTTTTTAACAGAAGTACGAAAAAAATGAAAAAGACTTTTGCCCCAACCCAATAGATTGTATTTAGGTGTAAATTATCAAATTTTCGGGTAAACTCTTGAAAAATATTATGGAAAAATTGGAAAATTAGCATGTGGATTTGTTGATTATACTTTCAATTAAAACTGAAAATACATAGAAAGCCGTTAAGGTTGTCTCCTTAAAAGTTTTTAGATTTTGCGGGTTTTGGGCCAACTATAAAAAACCCAAAAGAAAAAGGTTAAACCTGTAGAAAGCGTGAACAATTAGACGTGCCAAATGCTTGTCACGCAGCTTCACAATGGTTTTCTAAATTTTGTTTCAAATTGACTGTGTTTTTTCAGTGAACTTCTACCACTCTCAGAATGGAACTCATCAAGTTGTTGATGTATTTCAAACATTCCCTCTCCGTCGCAAATTCATCTTTTGTAAGTGGGGACGAAGCATTTGCATCAGCGGCTGCTTCCACATCTAAAACTACAAAAATGATTCATACATTAAAAACAAAACCCCGTGCTATCAAAGGATCTTCCGCATTTGTTCCTGCAACTTCCGCATTTTCTTCATCCTCAGCTAAATGTTTTTGTTGATCTTCCTGAAAAGCTTCGCTCACCCGATGGAGCAGCTGGGCCATTTGCATCGCCAACTTGTCCCACTAAATTTTTTATATACTTAAATTATTTTAATGAATGTTTTTCGAAAAGCTTGGTAACCTGATCGCATTTGTGATCGCAACCTGATCGTATTCACTTTAAAAAATGCAAATGTTTATAGAATTTTTTTCAATTTCTCAGATTTTTATTGATAAAAAACTTAAATATTGACAATTAGATGAGAAGAAAAGACGCGGACGAAACTAGTTTTTTTTTCTGTTTATTTAAGGTTGAAAACTTTGATAACCTAAAGATGTGGGAGCTGTAGATAATGCGGATCTGAATGAAACTGCTGAACCTGCTGAAGAATGAGTTCTCGAATGTGAAGCATTTGGTGATTCTGAAGCATTTGGTGATCCTGAAGCATTTGCTGATCCAGAAGTATTTGCTGATCCAGAGGTATTTTCTGATCCTGAAGCATTTGCTGATCCTGAAGCATTTGCTGATCCTGAAGCATTTGCTGATCCTGAAGCATTTGCTGATTCTGAAGCATTTCCTGATCCTGAAGCATTTGCTGATTCTGAAGCATTTGCTGATCCTGAAGTATTTGCATCAGAGCCTGCTTCCACATCTAAAACTACAAAAATGATTCATACATTAAAAACAAAACCCCGAAAGTTCATTTGAGAAGTTCAAGCCAATGGCATTTGAGAAGTTCAAGCCATACCTGAGGAAGATAAATGTGCTGAATTGTTTGCCGTATTCTGTCCTGTGGCGACTTGATTTGCTCCACCCGGCACGGTTATCGGCGTTTTCGCTTCAAAAAATGCAAATGTTTACAGAAATTTTTAAATTTCTCAGACATGTATTGATAAAAACTTAAATATTGACAATTAGGTGAGAAGAAAATCTCTTACTTGACGCCGAACGAGCTTTGATAAAATGGGCCGGAAAGAATCTTTCCTAAAGCGAACCGAATTTTTTTTCTGAAAATCATTTTTATTTTTACCGAATTTTCCAATCTTTTAATATCTTCTAGCAAAACTTTCTCGAGTTCCTTGTCGTCCGCGGTAAGAAGTTTTTCCTTTTTGCGTAAGCGGCGCTTGGCGATTTTTCTAACAACACAAAACATTTTCAAGCTTTGTGGGCCAACTATCCAGGTTTTCTAATTCAAAAATCCTAAATAAAGCACCTTCATTTTATTTCCGAAATACGAGTTGAAATTGTGCATAAAAAGTATAGTTTTCTGTTGATAAAATCGACGAAAAAATGATATTTAGAATGAAATGAGATACGCTGAAAGGACTAGTGCTTAGAAAATCAAAAAACAAAAAGAGGAAAATAACAAAAATTGTGTTTTTCGCAAAATTTATTGAAATTTATTAGTTTAGAAACACTTTTTTCAAACTTTTTCAAAAAGACTCTAAAAACTAAAAAATTTGCTTCTTGCGTTTCTAATTTTTGTCTATAAGATAAGCCTGAAAGCACAAAAAGAGTGGACCGACTAAAAAAATGCTGATAAAAAGAATACAGAAAATGAATCATACTCAAGTTAAAAGATATTATATTTACAACTTGAAAGTTTGTACACTTATTTCTTGCACTTTTTAGAAATAACTAGTGCACTAATTAATCTACATTTTTCACCCAAAAAAGGTCTATTGATTCTTTAAAACAGGCTTTTGGCAGATTTAGAAAAGCTTCGGTTTTGTAGGTTTCTACGGAGCAAGAAGTTGATGAACCAAAAATGATGAACACTCGAAGAAGTGATTTGAGCACTTTCTTCCACATAAACCTATTTTAGTGTCAATGAAAAAAAGAGAGAGCATAACAAGTTAGATAAATAGCCAAATTTTCAGCTAGATCTAATCAATCATTTTTGTTAAAGTTCCATTTGAAGAATTTTCAGAAAAACTTCAATCTCTGCTCAAATTCGTTTCAAAAGTTACCCAAATTTGCCTAAGCATGTCTTAAATCAGATAATATAGAGCAACTTTCATTTAGAGAAGTCTAATTTCATTGGTGTATTAAATATGTTTTCAGGAAAACACGAAAAAGTGTATCAAATTTGAAGTTGTCATTCTAATAGATTTGTATTCATCATTTAAAGCCATTTTTCAGTCTATTTTAAATTTAATTTTAGCTTTTAAAAAGATTTCAGAATTGCCAAATTCAATAAAATAAAGACATTTTTCATGCGCGTCCTTGATTTTCTTGTAAGACTTTTCTGATTGCCAATGAGTTGGCGTCCTTATCTCAAGGGAATAAAGCGAAAATTTTCCCTATGCTCGTTCATTACTTTTTTTGAAACTTATGCAGGGTTTTTTGGGAGCTATATGAATAATTTCCTCTCGTTCCATTTTACCGTTTCTCAAGTTGTCAGAATTTCAGGGATTTCGAGAGGAAATTTTTCGAGTAACATATTGTAACATAACATAGTAACGAGTAACATATTATTATTGTAATTCGGTTTTTAGACTTATGCAATGTTTCATTAAAACCTAATTCTTATTCTGTTCAACTATAGGGTAAACTCAACCAATAAAATTTTCCAGAGTAGCAAAGATAAACATTTTTTATGGCCTACTGAGTTGGCGTCCTTATCTCAAGGAAGTAAAGCGAAAATTTTCTCAACGCTCGTTCGTTACTTTTTTTTGGAAACTTATGCGGGTTTTTTGGGAGGGATCTGAAAAATTTCCTTGTTTCCTTGTTTCATTTTTCCATTTCTCAAGTTTTCAGAATTTCAGGGATTTCGAGAGGAAATTTTTCGAGTAACGCGTTGTAACCTAACATAGTAAACTTTTAAAAGCTTTCTAAAATTGAGGAGAGAATGAGTGACTGAATTTGTTTCAAAAAAGTTTTGGTGGTTTTAAACAAGCTCAATGGAAATTGTGATGATGAGACGCGAAATGGCTCTTTTTTTGTTTTTTGAGCCACTTTAAAAGCTAAAAAAAAAATTTCTATTTTTGTTTTTAAAATAAAAAGCTTTCTCGGAAAATCTTGTGAGATGAGTGGCCTTTTAGGTGCTAAACTTTAGATGTACCAAAGTCGACTATAAAGAGCACTCGAGCGCTCCAGCTCTTCACAAATTGGCAATTGAATATGCTCAAATTGGATTCCAAGAGAAAAATGAAACGAATATTATTTTTCAGGATTTGAGATGTGCCCATTGATCACAGAAACTCAAGAAATGAAGCTCATCCGGCCGAGTGGTTTTGATGGAACAGAGAATGACGTGATTGTGAATGGATGTGGGGAAATTGACGTTAACTCATCTTTTCTACCATTTCTATGGAATGGAAAGACTTACGACACGATTTCGCAACTCAAAAAAGCAATTTTGCAAGCTTGAACGTCAATTCCACCACAAACGCTTTAGAACTTAGTGAACTCGATGAAAAATCGACTGCTCGACGTCATCGAGAAAAAGGGAGCATCTATTGATTACCGTATTTACTCGAATCGAAGACCGTTCTTCTATTTTTTTTCAATCACCCCCTAGACCCCGTCTTCTATTCGAGGCCGGCCTTTTATTATTTGCATTCACTAAAATTTTCAGGAAAGTAACCAGCCTTTTAAAAAAAATTTTTTATAGAAATTTATTGTAACATTTAACAACAAAATTTATCAACAACAACAACAACCTTTAATAACAACATTAACAACAATTAATCAGAAAATAAAAAAGCAGTAATAATAACCTTCTCACTTGATTCAATGTCATCCTCTATTAAATCCGGATCTTGCAAAATTCCATCAAGTCCCTCTGGGCTCGAAATTGAATCGTTTTCACTCTCATATCCATTGTTTCTATCCACGTCGGAGTCGATATCTTGACAAAGTTTTGCTAATCTTCCTCCAATCTTGCAATATCCAGCTTGAATCGACCACTCTCAACAGCTTCCCCTTTGCGGAAACAAAAAATCTCATTATCCTCGCTGTTGGATTCCTTGTTGTCATTTTTTGCCGTCTCAAAAAATGCGCCAGCCATTCATTGCTTGCAGAGAAAGCTTTGAGAAACTTTGTGAAATCTTTCGATTTCTTTTGCAGCGACTCCTCTTTTGTCGTCCAGTCTCGAATCGTCTTTGGAGTCACCTTAAACTGTCGTGCAGCCAGAGTCAAAATGGCAGCGGTATCACGGAAATGTGGAGATGGCGGAGGTATAATGGAAAAGTACCACAAAAAAATTATTAATACAAGATGTAGAAAAATACCAAAAAAATAGTACTATTGAATTGAATATTATTTTTACCCTATTGGGTAAATTCCCTTATTCTTTTCCCGTATTAATTTTGAAAAAGTTATAGAATTATAGAGTACTCTCGTTACAGCTGTTCTTTCGGTGTTCTTCTCTACGAAATGTACTCATTCGGCAAGACTTCGTTCCATTCAATAAACCAAGAGGAAGTGCTTCTACATTTGAAAACGGGGAAACTTTTGAAAGTCCCAGAAGCGGCTCCATCTCTGATGTAATCGAGTTAGAAATTTGCGAATATCAAACGTTTAGAAGCTCGATTATTGGTAATTGTTGGACAGAAGAACCAAACCATCGGCCGGAGTTTTCAAAAATCCGGCAAAGTCTCTATAAAGAGATGGAAGATAATTCTGAATGTTACGGGTATTTACATTTCAGGTAATTTGTTAAATAAACATCAAAGAATTTGAAAAAATTTAGTAAGAACTATTATCGCTCAGAGCCGAAACGAGAAACAGAAGTAAAGAACGAAACTGTTTAAATGATCAGAAATCTTTCAACAATCTTGGTGCTTAAATTTAATTATGAATAGAATAAAAGTTATTAACAAGGACTTCGAATTCAGTTTTATTCAACGACCTATCAAAAATTAATTACAGATTTAGCTCTAACGAATGAGACAGGTCTTTTTTCAATACTACAATATACTGTAGATGCCAAAAATTGGTCTGTACCGCTATATCCCATCAGGCAACAATACCCATCTTTAAAACCTTGATCTGACTTAAAAATAAAATAATACTTATTTATAAGAAACCAATTTCAAAAAAATTAAGCATAAATAAAAACGAA